CTTCCGTCTAGCTGCTCTGATTTCGGGATCATCCCACCATGTTTGTCCACTTCAGCATTCGTTGATCTGGAATCCATTTCGATGCTCCTCTTGACAGCCCTTTTTGTCTTCTTCGATGGACCTGGACGACCCGGACGCTGCTCAGTTGTATCCTTCCTGTGTTTCCTGAACTGCACGATGATTCTGTTGACTGTCGAAAGCGGGATTCCCAAATTCTGCGAAATTTGCCGCTGACTTATTCCACCATCTGCTTGACCAACTATCCTTCCTCTAACAAAATCTGACAATTCGAGAGAACCTTGAGTTCTATGCACAAGATACTTAGTGTGCGGACGGACCATTTTCATTTATATAGTGCTCTGTGAACACAAATTAGTTAGCATAAATCAGTTAAATGACGAAATATTAGATGTCTATTTACTTGTGACCACTCAGTGTACATGCATGTTATTAAAATGTAAATGTAAAATTACATACAATATATAAAAATAAAAAACGGATGATTAATGTTTTTCTTCAATGGTAATATTGTGTATATATAAAATATGGTAATGACCAGGCGCTCTTCTTTCACAGTGATATCCAGTCATTATTGAACAATCACGGATGACTGAGTGACGGTCACTTTTCTAAACTATGTCCATTCCAAGAAAAGTGACTAATATGATACAATCGTATATTTGTACGTACAATAGTATAAGGTGTTTATGTTCAAACATATTATTCATGAGCTTGTCCTGTATTTCGTAAAACCAACAGCTCCGAATGCTAATATCATTGTAGCCTTACCATGTCGCAAAATTTCGCCATTCTGTCACTCCCTTACCCATTTCTAAACCTGGATGGGGCTGTATCATGTCATACGTGGAAACCTGGAGTTTCTTGATGAAGATATTTATAGAACACCACTCAGTCAACCTTGTAAAGAGACATTCTTCAGAACGTCACTCAGTCAACCTTGTAAAGAGACATTCTTCAGAACGTCACTCAGTCAACCTTGTAAAGAGACATTCTTCAGAACGTCACTCAGTCAACCTTGTAAAGAGACATTCTTCAGAACGTCACTCAGTCAACCTTGTAAAGAGACATTCTTCAGAACGTCACTCAGTCAACCTTGTAAAGAGACATTTAGGACGTCGCTCAATCAACGTTGTAAATAAACATTTTTAGGACGTCATTTAGCCACTTTTACTCATGACTGTTAGTAAAGAATTTCGAAATTTTAATTTAAAAGCAAAATACACATGTACTTCATTTTCTACTGTCTGCTGGTGATTTATTTGTTATCAAATGTGAAGTATTTTACAGCTTCAAGGTTTGATGCACTTATTCTAAAAACTTTACAATCTGCTTTACCTCTTTAATACATTGGAGACGTTCATTGGTTTGTTGTATATGTCTTTCCATTGCCGTTGCCATAGCAGTCATGGCCAATTCCTACTGTCACTCTTCTACAGCACACTCTGGTGGTAGACCATTCCAATAGCCTGAATTTTAGAAAATACACATCAATATTAAAACAAAGGCCAACCACACTTCTTATACGACTTTTAACCTAAATGAAATATGTCAGAGAATGAGAACTATGAGCATGGTCGGTGTCATCCATTCCCAGTGGGATGAGATGGACTAGACAGACAATTAAGAGGCTCCATCCTACATCTTGAGTGCAACATACTATAGTGTTTAGGAAATACACCAGCTTTAAAAGTAAGCACTTTTTGTAGGGTGTGGGAGCTACAGGGGAGGCTAAAGCCCATTACGGGGTAGCTTCAGCCTCAGCAAGCCCCTCCTTACCGCGACCCCCTCCCACCCCGACTTTGAGCATTATACTGTTTACTAATTATTTAGTCATAAAGATAAATATTCAAATTTTTCACACACAGTTTTTAATAAAACCTGCGTTCATTAACTACTGTCTTAAACATTTTAACATCCATCGAAGCTAGATGACATTAAATCTATTTTATAAGAATACAACAGTAAATAATGAAAAACCTGCGGTCAACGTCCCAGTCACCAAACAAGACAATAAAACGTTTGATATGTAACGCTTCTTTCTTTCCTTGCTATTTTCTGTGACATATTTGAGGTATAGAGCTTTTGAAATATTTATTTCCTCATAAGCTAATTATTCTATATCTACTCAGAAAGATAAAAAGTCACCTTTGATATACTGATGAATAAATTAAACCCCTATGAACGAAGAAAAATGTTTTTGTTAACGCATGCCCACATTTGTTATCGATAAACCCTTATGAATGAAGAGGAATGTTTTATTAACACAAGCCCATACTATGTTATCAATAAACCTTTATGAATGAAGAGGAATGTTTTATTAACGCAAGCCCATACTATGTTATCAATAAACCCTTACGTATGAATAGGAATGTTTTATTAACGTAAGCCCATACTATGTTATCAATAAACCTTTATGAATGAAGAGGAATGTTTTATTAACGCAAGCCCATACTATGTTATCAATAAACCCTTATGAATGAATAGGAATGTTTTATTAACGCAAGCCTATACTATGTTATCAATAAATCCTTATGAATGAAGAGGAATGTTTTATTAACGCAAGCCCATATTTTCTTATCAATAAATCCTTACGAATGAAGAGGAATGTTTTTTTAACGCAAGCCCATATTTTCTTATCAATAAATCCTTATGAATGAATAGGAATGTTTTATTAACGCAAGCCCATATTTTCTTATCAATAAATCCTTACGAATTAAGAGGAATGTTTGTTAACGCAAACCCATACTATGTTATCAATAGTCTTACGAACTAAGAGGAATATTTTGTTAATGCAAGACCGCACTTAGTTATCAATAAACCTTACGAATGAAGAGGGCTGTTTATTAACGCAAACCCACACTTCACTGTCAATAGTCTTACGAACTAAGAGGAATATTTTGTTAATGCAAGACCGCACTTAGTTATCAATAAACCTTACGAATGAAGAGGGCTGTTTTGTTAAAGCAAGTCTGCATTTAGTAATCGTAATCAATAATATTATATATGATCACAGCTATGAATTATAGCTGCTAATTCTAGCATCTATTTAGACCATCTGATTAGCAGTTTAGATCAATAAACAAGTTACGTGCTATTTCAATCACAATGTTTCTGTCACGTTGTATAAGCTTTACAAGTAAACCACTTGTGTATATATACAGAAGGCAAAACATTGAGAAGGCATGAAATAGTACAATTCTTAATATTACAACAGTAGCTAAGCTACTAAAACTTGTAGTATACCATTTTTGTTCGATTATAGTAATAAAGTAAGCATGAAAATAGTAAACAGTTTTAAACTGAAATACAAATGTGTATAACAAAAAAAACAACTGGACAAACTTCATTTCAGTGAAAAGATACACAACAGACTTGCACCTTGTATTAACATACATTAAAAATGCTTTAAAAATTGCAACTCTGTCACAAGTTCATAACAGACAGATATTATATCCACCAAATCTTCTTAAATCCTTTACCAAGTTGGTTTACTTAGGTTAGAAAGAAATCATTTTGCAAACAGTTATTTTATTCGTATACATATCGATACATTTTAATTATAATGACAAGCAAGAAAAATTCAAAACCTGGAAATATATAATCATCATATGCACTTCTGAGTGCAAGCTCTACAGTAGCGGAAGTGATAAGGTATGAAAAGAGAAATCCATTCCAAAAAGAGTTAACTTTAAACTCCAATGACGTCATATTAGAATAAATCATGAAATACACATGAAAACAGTAACCATAGGTACCACATTGTCGGATTTTGAGACTGTCACTCGGAGGAAACCGAAGACCTGACCTACTTTCAATGTGATCCATTCAATGGCATAAATACCAAGACAGCCAGGTGTTAAACAGTTACGCAGATGTGCAAAGCAAATACGTACAAACCAACTGTATACTGAGGTAGAATGTATTTCCTTCCCTGTCAAAAATTATTTGTTAAACCTTGTAGAAAAACTATTCGATCACATCTGAAGGTTGTGTTTGTAGATAAATTTATAATCCTAAGATATGAAAGCCGCTAATCCAGTTCGTTTGTATATATATCACTGATACTGCGTGACTGATTGACGTTCCGAGTGAACGTGATAACGACCACACAAGATAGTGGCGACATAGAGAGTGGTGACAGTGAGGAATGAAGTGTGTTGCGATAATAAAGCAATCACAAGACTCTTATTATGTGTTTGTTGCTCTCAAATAGATAAGGCTATTTGTTTAACAAACACACAGAATTTGTTTTTGTTTTAAATTAAACGTTTTCATGAAAAAAATACATTCATGGGTTTCTGTTGGTTTAAGCAAAACCAATTAAATGAGATGATTCTATACCTATAGATTTTTAAACAATTTTAAAGGCTTATTGTAACAATAAATGTTATTATATATATAACATAGGCTCACCCTGTGGCACAGCGGCATGTCTGTAGACTCACACGGCTAGAAACCGAGTTTCGATACCCATGGTGGGCAAAGCACAGATAGCCCATTGTGTAGTTTTGTGCTTAATTCCAAACAATCAATCAACCAACATAGATATGCCGGTGGATAACATACCTAAAACGAAATATTTACAGACTTCTTGCTACTATGAGCAGTTTTTAAATCACGAATGTCGCGAAATTGTTGCTCAAACTACATGTTCTGGATTTCATTTGATGTTTTCGCAGTTTACAGGTGGTATTTTTCAATCGCCGTATTGCTACACGGCATTTACTTCCTGGTTCATTGCAATGTCGAGCATCTGTTTTCAGTAACTGGTGTGGGTGGAAGTTAATGGAAATTATATTTTTATCAGACGCGACATTCTCAGTCTAATAGTAACAATATGTTTTGGTGTTTGGGAGATAGTGTACGGTAAAAAATGCCACCAAAGTAAAACCACTTACCTAAATGACAAGAAAGGTAATTACATTTAATTACATTATACAAAAGAGTAAACGCGCTTTATTGGCTGATATAGCGTTATCTGTCATTATTTGAAAAAAAAAAAATAATAATAATAAGAAGAATTTCAAAACTTAATATACGTGGCACAGGATATATAGTGTTGAAGAAGAACATACTTATCTACGTATGATTTTGAATTTCGCGCAAAGCTACACGAGGGCTATCTGCGCTAGCCGTCCCTAATTTAGCAGAGTAAGACTAGAGGGAAGGCAGCTAGTCATCACCACCCACCGCCAACTCTTGGGCTACTCTTTTACCAACGAATAGTGGGATTGACCGTCACATTATAACGCCCCCACGGCTGAAAGGGAGAGCATGTTCGGTATGACGGGGATTCGAACCCGCGACCCTCAGATTGCGAGTCGAGCGCGTTAACCACCTGGCCATGCCGGGCCTATCTACGTATGGAAGAACTTTATTGAAACATCGAATGGAATGGCTAACAACTACTGCTGCTCACATGCTGTCATTAACTAACTTTCTAATATGAAAACATACTTATCAAATTATGTGGGTTTGGCATGGCCTTGTGGTTAGCGTGCCCGGACTATAAATTCGGTTCATGTTTCGCGTCCCGTTACCAGAAAATTCGCTCAGTACTTTTGAGCCATGAATGTGTTATAAGTGTAAAGATCAAACCCATTATTCAGTCCAACAAGAAAAGCCCAATAATCGGCTTTCATTCTTTCCATAAATGTAATATTAAAACGGTTACGCATAGACACTACTGTATAGTTCTGACAAGGATTTAATTCCGATCAGTGGTCTTATGTTAGTATATTCAACAATCGATGTATTAGAGTACGTTATGTTTCTTTAATCCGTATTTTAAATTTCGATATATCTCTACCTGTATTACATTTTAACACATGTTTGTGTGTTAAAGCTCTCGTTTTTTTTATCTAATTATAACAATAATTTCTTGAGGTTCTACCTAAATATGTTTGTCACACAGAGAAAAGGAAAACTTCATGCAGTGAAATGACCCTGTTATTCCATGTAGCCATTTCTTTACACATTTTGTGGTTCAGAAATGCGATAATATAAACAGACTGTTGAAACCGAAATTGTTTCTGTATATCAGTATCTGATTCTGAAGGTATTTATATAAATTTAGTATGGAGAATTGAAGTTATATGCACATAGTAATATAACACTACTATTGTGTGTATTACACAAACAGCTAAGGTATCCTATATATATTATTTACTAAATCAATTATATTCAAAAACAAAAAGCACGTGAAATTATATTGCAATGTAAACATCACTTGTTTATTTGAAAATACGCAACTGTTATCACAGGGATAAAGAATATGGTCATTTTTTAACGTAGTAGCCTATTTGTGGGAAAATAAAACTGGATCCACAATGTGCGTAGCACTTCAAAGCACATATGAGAGGTGATTTATGGGCTGTAATGCGTTCAGGTAGAAAGTGATCACAAGATTGACCCAAGGTCAGTGCAAGTAAATCGATAAGCGACGAATCAAAAGCGCACTCTATAG